CAAGACACAGGTGGTTACTAATTTTTTCTGTATCTGTGGAAGTTTGCTTTGTTACCGAGTATGTGGTCAATTTTTGAGAATGTTCCATGGGCTGCAGAGAAGAAGGTATATTCTTTCCTATTTGGGTGGAATGTTCTATAGATATCTGTTAAGTCCATTTGATTCAATACCTCCAATAATTCTCTTATTTCTCTGTTGGGTTTCTGTCTGATTGACCTGTCCATTGGTGAGAGAGGAGTGTTGAAGTCTCCTACTATTAGTGTGTGTGGTTTGATGACTGCCTTGAGTTCTAGAAGTGTTTCTTTTACATAAGTGGGTGCCTTTATATTAGGGGAATAGATATTCAGAATTGAGACTTCCTCCTGATGAATTGTTCCTGTTATGAGTATGAAATGTCCATCTCTATCTCTTCTGATAGATTTTAGTTTGAAGTCAATTTTATTAGATATTAGAATGGCCACACCCGCTTGTTTCTTAGGTCCGTTTGCTTGGAAAACCTTTTCCCAGCCCTTTACTCTGAGTAGATGTCTGTCTTTGTGGTTGAGGTGTGTTTCTTGTAAACAGCAGAATGTTGGATCCTGTTTTCGTATCTAGTCTCTAAGTCTGTACCTTTTTATAGGTGAATTGAGTCCATTGATATTAAGTGATATTAATGACCAGTGGTTGTTGACTCCGGTTATTATTATTTTTTGGGGGGGTAGTAGAGTGTATGTCTTTCCCTTCTTTGAGTTGTGCTTGTGAAGGGTCACTAGATGTCTGAGTTATTGTAGGCGGTGTTGGGAATGTTGGATTCCTTGGGTTGTGATTTTCCTTCTAATACTTTCTGTAAGGCTGGATTTGTAGCTACATATTGTTTAAATTTGTTTTTATCCTGGAATATTTTGTTTTCTCTGTTGATAGTGAATGATAGCTTGGCTGGGTATAGTAGTCTGGTATAAGTAGATCATGCATCCATGATCTCTTAGTTTCTGCAGTACCTCTATCCAGGACCTTCTGGCTTTCATGGTTTCCATAGTGAAGTCTGGTGTAAGTCTGATAGGTTTACCTTTATAAGTTACTTTATCTTTTTCCTTTGCAGCTCTTAATATTCTTTCTTTAATCTGAATGTTTTGTGTTTTGATTATTATATGGAGAGGGGATTTTTTTTTTTGATCCAGTCTATTCGGTGTTCTGTATGCTTCTTGAACCTTCATAGGGATATCGTTCTTTAGGTTGGGGAAATTTTCTTCTATAATTTTGTTGAATATATTTTCTGGACCTTTGATCTGCAATTCTTCTCCTTCTTCTACCCCTATTATTCTTAGATTTGGTTTTTTTATTGTGTCCCACATTTCCTGAATGTTTTGTGATGAGAATTTGTTGGATTTGCTGTTTTCTTTGGTCAGAGCGTTTATTTTCTCTATGGTGTCTTCATAATCTGAGGTTCGTTCTTCTATCTCTTGTATTCTATTGGTTATGTTCGTTCCTGAAGTCTCTGTTTGATTGTTTTTTCTTGGTTTCCCAGAATTTCATTTACGGATTTACTCATTTCTTCAAACTTTTTGGTATATTTCTCTTTCATTTCTTTACTCATTTCCTCAATCTTTTTGTTATACTTATCTTCCATTTCTTTACAGCAGATTTTCACCTCCTGTTTAAGTTCCTCTATTATTTTCATAAAGATCCGCTTTGAGTCGATTTCTTCTATTTCTTCTGGAGTAGGGTGTTCAATTCTTCTAGTTTCGTGCTCCCTGGATTCTGGAGGTGTCATGTTGCCTTTCAGGTTTTTGGAGGAATTCTTGCTTTGGCGCCTGCCCATCTCCTCCTCTCTGGAGGAAACTCCTCAGCACTCTCTGGCTAGAACTCCTCAGCACTCTGTGGATAGAGCTCCTCAGCACTTTCTGGATAGAGCTCCTCAACACTCTCTGGCTAGGACTCCTCAGCACTCTCTGGATAGAGCTCCTCAGCACTCTCTGGGTAGAGCTCCTCAGCACTGCAACAGGGCTAGCTGGTCTTCCTGGAACCCAGGAGACAAAAGGGCGGCAGCAGTGGGGGCAGGGAGGGGTCCCGTGGAACACCGAAGACCCTGCCGCAGAAGCTGAGGGGGGAGGGGCTGTGCTCTCTTCCAGGACAGACTGCCCTGGCGAGCACCCACTCACCTCTCTGGATAGAATTCCTCCTTTTTCTTGTAGTTTTAAAATAAGCAAATATAGCCTGAACATACGGAAGGGTGGAGCCAAATCTCCAGATACAGAAATGTTTGAAGTAAACACCACTTCTTATGCCTTTGGGTAGGGTAAAAGGGACAACTGGTGCAGTAAACCGACTAATCACTGATCACCCTGACTCTGAACCCAGAGCCAGTGAAAGAAATGTGCCCTGGTCCTAAGATTAGAGTCAAAAAGCTAAAAAAGGAACCAGTGAAAGAAACACAGTTTGGCCACAAAGTCAGAGCCATCTCTGCCCCTGACCAACTAAACTGACCAATACCTGAGCAGGGAAAAACTAACCAATCCCCCTTCTCCCTGGGAAAACTCCACCCCTAAGAAGCCCTATAGAAGCCTCTCTGCCCCTTCAGTTAAGGGGCTGCATTGAGGTTGACATTAATCCCTCCCTGGCAGAAGCAGCCACTCCCCTGGACTCCTCCTTCCCAAATAAATCTCTTTCTCAAAAGAGTCTTGGGTGGCCACCTTCATTCACCAGCACAGACTAGAAGAACCTGGCTGGGACGTCCCTTAGGGGACCCAGCTAAAATACCTTGCTGAGACCCTTTCTTAGGGGGCCTCAGAAAGGCAGAGCAGAACAGAAGAACTTTGCTAGGATGCTCCTGAAGGAGGTCTGAGCAAGGCCGGCAGGAAAAGTAACAACGTTTCAGAGACAGAGGAGATTGTTACATTTCTGCAGGGGCTTCTGCTTTAGCAGAGTGTTAGCTAAAGAAGAATCATTTTGGGCCTGAGAAGAAGCAGATAGCTCTGCTAGGACGTTCCCTTCAGGGAGCAGAGCAGAACAGAACTCAGCTATAGCGACTCTCCAGAAGAGCAGGATCCCTATAGCCTGCAGGAGACCATCCCCCCACTGCACCCCAGCTTCAGGTCGCCTGGCTTCCCAATAGTCAGGACACTTTTCCTCCAGGGCTGAGCTCCAGCCTCCAGAGCTGTCCTACTGAGGCTCTGGTAGTCTGGCTTCCCGATAAGTCAGGATATCTCTGCAACACTACAGCTGTAACACATTCCCCTGCATTTGTAGTTACCAAGTATTGATTTCACTAAGTAGGAATATTGCATAAATGGTGGTTTGTGGAGTTGATTTGATGAGCATAAGAATCGTGGTCACTTTGTTGATGGAATGTTTAGGAAGGGAGAGGGAGAGACCTGCTTGCCTGTTTCCCTCATCACTACTGACAGATTTTCTTCTGGGGGTCTGGGTGTTGGGAGGGTTCTTTTAAGTGTCTCCCTCCAAGCTTCTAATGTTGGGGAAAATAAGACTCAGGACTCCCTGTATTTCAGGAACCTGGCATGGGTGCTCACTGCCACTGGGGCCACAGAGCGCAGCATAGCCCTGTCAGTGGGATTCTGCCATGCTGTGCCTGAGGTCATCCATAGTCCACCTCCTCTGGAAAGTCTCCTGATCAGCAGTACCTTTGTGATGTGTCTTCTCCAAGTCTTCCCACTCCGCATGCTTTGACATGGGGAAGGTTCTGTCTCGTGGATCCTTACAATGTGAGGGACTGGATGGGGAGCTGATGCCGTCCTTGAGGGCCAGCTCTCTCTCCCCTTGAGTTCTGCTCAGGCCAAGAGGACAGCTTTTGGGAGAATGACATCATAATCTCAGAGCCAAAAGCTGCTCACAGTCTTGTTTGATGGACAACTCTTCCTTAGGTATTTTAAAGATTTTTCTAGAAGTCTTAGATTAAAACAGACTTAGGGTCTGAAAGAATAAATTTGTAAAATGTGACATAGATAATTTTTATCTCATATTTGAGATCAGCAACTGCTGATAACCACCCAGGGAAGAATGGTATATCTGAGAAAAAATAACAGTTAAAAGGTAAAAATTGTATTTCGGTATAACTTAATTTTATTTAATATTGGTGTATTATTAAAGGAATGTGATTGCATTTCAGAAAACTTTAAAAATTCATAGATCATCAACATTTTCTGCAACACACTGGCATTTTTTTCTAGGTGTTTTCTAATGCAGTTTGCTTTCAAGGCAGAGTGAAGCAAAATCCTTCTTTTTTTTTCCTGTTTCACTGTGTAGCCTCCCTATCTTCACAGTGAGACTATGTAGGCAGGTTGTCCTTGAACTCACAGAGTTCCCTTGCTTCTCTCTACCTTGAGTGCTGGCAAAAAGTCTTAGGATCTGCCTCCCACAGGAACAGTCTTCTGTCGTCTCTACTTGGTTTATGTCCCCGATGCCTTTAGCAAAGCTTGTCAGCATATGTAACAGAAGGCGGGGATAACATTCCTTTTCATGGATTTGGATTCATTTCAGCAGCAATATCTGAAATTGTATTATTCTGGGGGAAACAACCAACAGCTCTCCCAGAGTTGAGCTGGAGGAAATGAATCAAATGTTGTAGACAATTGCGAAGAATTGCTGAGTTTCATTTCCTGAGGGTAGGGAAAAAACATCAAATCCAAACCAAAGACCTGATGTTTCCATCCTAGGTCCTTCTGTTTGTCTATCCCCCCACCCCCTGCCCCCACTTATTGGTCTTTTAAGACAGAGTTTCTCTGTGTATCCTTGGCTGTCCTGAAAATAACTCTGTAGCTCCAGGCTGACCTTGATCCGCCTGCCTCTGCCTCCTGAGTGCGTGAATTAAAGGCGTGCACCACTATGCTGGGCTCCATCCTAGCTCCTTGACTTTGTAGCCTGCCTGCTGGGAAACTCTGCCTTTTGTCTGGTGAATGGGTGGAAGGAAGTGTGTCCTTGCCTGATTTGGGTATTCTAAAAATGTATTTTTCCTCAGCCAGAATGCAATCATACTCACATTTCCCCTTCTCTCTTCTTATTTGCAGAGTACTCGGGTGGAGTTTGACTTGCCAGAATATTCTGTTCGAAGAAGATACCAGGATTTTGACTGGTTGAGAAACAAACTGGAAGAATCACAGCCCACTCATCTCATTCCCGTAGGTAGTAAGTCACTGCGGCTTGCTTCTCGCCTTTCCTGAATTCTCTCCATAGAGGTGCTGCTCAGTTCTTTGCCTCTGCAATGATGGGTTCACTCTGATTTTATACTGAATCCGCCCACCGAGAGTGTGTGTAGGACAGAGGCGATGTGTCTCACAGTCTCGGTTTCTGATCTCTTTGCTAGTTTCTTAGCTAAGGTAGAATAGATTTTTCCTTGTTTCCCATACTCCTTTCTGTTAAACAGTGTGTGCGTACACGGGAAGTCAGAGTACAACTGTCAGGAGTTGGTTCTTGCTTTCCGCCTTGTTGACGTTCAGTCGCTCTTGTTTCTGTTGTTTCATGTCCTCCTGGGAGTTGGTCCGTGGGCTTCTGGGTGAGTATCTCTGCCTCCCCTCTCAACTGAAGGAATGCTGGGATTGCAGATGTATACCACTCGTCCTGCCTTCACATCATTCCAGGGACTGAACTTGGCCTATGAGCTGTTGTCTCTCTGTCTCCCCTGTCTCTGTCCCTCTCTCTTATGTGGTACTGAGGACTAAGTACTTGCTAGGATTCTGTTCTGTACTGAGCTGGCCCCCCAGCCCTCTTTTTTACTATTAGAGACAGGGTTTTACTAAGTAACCCAGGCTGGCCTTGAACTTGCAGCCAGCATCAGCCTGTTGAGTATCTGGGACTATAGGCATACAGCACCAGGCTCACAGTTCATTTTTTTCCAATACAAGATCTTAACTTATTTCTCTACTTGGCCCAGAACTCACTGTCTAGCCCAGGTTGGTCTCAAGCCTGTGGCAATCCTCCTGCCTCAGCTAAATCTTCCTGCCTGCCTAAAGCTACTGTGCCTGGCTCAGATTTTCACTTACATTGTGACAATTTTCCTTTTTTATTATTAAAAGGGGAACATCCTAACTCTTTAAAAGATTGAAGTTTGATAGGTATGTATTCTGGCTCACACCTATAGTCCTAGTGCTTAGGAGGTAGAGGGAGGAGGATTACTGTGAGCTCAGGGCCATCTTGGATTACATAGTGAGTTCCATCTGATCTGGAAAAACAAACAACAAAAACAAAAAGATTGACACTTCGAAGTAAGTCTCACCCGAAACTGTTTTTCCCCTCGGCAGATATTATTCTTGAGGTTTGGCTGCCTACCAAGAAGGTGAAGCTGACTGTGGCTGATGGGGCCAGGGATCTAGCACACCATTCCTTCACAACCACAGCTTTTTATTTACAACACGAACAGGAAAACCCTTACCTCTGTGTGTTGTTGCAGCATAGTATGGATGCACCACTCACAACTTCCTGCTTTTCAACAGCTGAGAACTAAAACTTTAAAGACTGAGTAGTTCTCTTATGTAGTAAGTGGTTTACCATCACCTTTAAGTTGAGACAATTACTATTTGGTCCCCTGTTTTCTTTGGGGGCTTTAGGAAAAGTTTGGAGCATAAAAATTTCCAGAGGCCAATTTGTCATTCAGCAAGACCTTGTTTGAGTCATGGCCGGGGTTGCTCAACTTCCCATTGCTGTCGCATCCTCCACCTGCCTTTGCCCGCCATGGTTGGGTGAGGTGGTATGTGCTGTGAAGACTGACCGCTTTTAGAGTTGTGAGGTGATTCGTGTGATTCACTGGGCTAGAAGTGAGGGGGCCCTCAGGGATCTACATCCCCCAGGCTTCTCTTTTGTTACCTCAAGTCCTGTCTCTTTCAAGCCTGTGGCTTTTTTTTTCCTGCCTTCCAGTTTCTTAAGAATGTGCCTGAAAAAGAAGCTGTCAGAACAAGTCCTTAAAATAGAATCCGACTTGGCCAAATGGGCAGCTAGTGATGATTTTTTTCCTGAAATAAAAACAAAAAGCAAAAACAAAACAAAAGAAACATATGCTTTTTATTTCAGAACAGTTTTAGGGTTATTACGAAAATTGGAGAGCAGGTTCTTAGTATTCAATATCCAGCTGCAATATTCTACACCAATGTGAGATGCTGGCCTTCCAGGCCACCGATCAGGCCCACATTTTACATCTCATGGTTGTTTTTGCTTCTGACAGTGTCTCAAGTTTTCTGGGGGTTTTGACAGTTTTGGGGTTTTCTAGTGAGGTGTTTCATAGATTCTTCAGTGGACACTTACTTCTCTGAAGGCATTCTTACTTAGACCATAGAAGTGGAATGAAGTGTTTTCAAGAAGAATGTCACAGTGATAAACTGTTAATGCAGGTCACATGACTTGAGAGGATGTTTGCAGGGAGTTTCTATTCAGTCTCATTGTAAGACATTTTCCCTGTAGCCTAAGTCTTGCTTTCCTCTTGGCAGCTAGTGGCTTTTGTTTTTGTTTCTTATTTCCTTGTGGTTTGGCACTTGAGCATCAGAAGCTGTAGAGTGACACCTGCTGGTAAACTGTAGTGCTACCGGTGCATAGAAGCTGTAGAGTGACACCTGCTGGTCAACTGTAGTGCTACCGGTCCATAGATGCTGTAGAGTGACACCTGCTGGTAAACTGTAGTGCTACCGGTCCATAGATGCTGTAGAGTGACACCTGCTGGTAAACTGTAGTGCTACCGGTCCATAGATGCTGTAGAGTGACACCTGCTGGTAAACTGTAGTGCTACCGGTGCATAGATGCTGTGTCTCCAGCATCCCAGAAGGGGCCTGGCATCCTTTGCCTGAGTAGCAATGGTGGGCAGGAGAGGGCTTTGGAAGCAGGCAGAGACTTGAGTTTCTTCACAAGTTCTTGATACTTACCCGAAGTGAAGAGATTTAATTTAGGAAAGTATCTCTGGTTTAAATTGAGAAGTCAAATGAGAAATGAACTTTTTGCAGTAGCCACAAATCATCTTATAGAAACTGTTAGGAGGCATCTCTGTATTTAAGCACAGTTGTGTGTTCTTCACTAGACCTGGTATGTGACTTTGGTGGGAGCACAGGTGAGGGAGGGATTTTAAGATAGACAGGGGACCTCTACCCTGGGGAACTCAGTGTCAAATAGAGACTGAGCGACTAGAGCATCTGCTCAGTGGTTAAGAGCATTTGTTGCTCTTGCAGAGAACCCAGGTTCTCAGCAACCCCATGGTGGCTCACAGCTGTCTATAACTCCAGTTCCAGGGAATCCAACGCTCTGTTCTGGTCTCTGAAGGCACCAGGCACACATAAAAGTAAAAATATTTTTTAAAGAAAGCTCATCTAAAATCTTAACAAAAGTGGAAACCCAGGAAAATGTACAACATACTTACTGTTTAGATAATTTCCTTACTTTTACCAATTTACTGTTGCTATTTACTTTAAGAAAGATTTTATTTTATTTTTAAATTACTATTAGACTTATTCATTTCATTTTATGTGTGAGTGTTTTATCTGCATACATGTATTATGTGTGTGCTGGGTGTCCAGCAGCTCAGAAGAGGAAGTGAAGCTGCAGACAGATGCCTGTGACCATTACGTGGGTGCTGGGCCTCAAGCGTATGCCCTTTTCAAGAGTGACAAGTGTACTTAACCACTGATCTATCTCACCAGCTCCCTTATTTCTATTTTTAATTATCTATCTATGTGTGTGTGTGCCTATGGAGGCCAGAAAGGGGAGTCAGATCCCTTGGAGCTGGAGCTGTGTGCTGCCTGGCATGGTGCTGGAAACGGGGCCTGGGTCCTCTGCAAGAGTCATGTGCACTCTCAGCCACCGAGCGTCTCCAGCCCCAGGTTGCTTCCATTTTAAAAAGTCTTACTGAAGCTGTATATGTACAATTCACTCATTTGAATTTACAAATTTACAGTCCCAGTGCTTTTAGTGTATTCGGCTTCATGGAACAGGCAAAAAAAACAAAAACAAAAACAATGTTAGGCCCTTTCCATTGACCCCCTCCCTACCTGCCACCATCCTCTCCCTCCAGCCTGGTGACCTCTTCTCCACCTCCTGTCCCTAGATGGTTTGTATTCTTTCTTACCCTCCGCATGTTTTCAAGGTTTCCCACCTTGGAAACCAGTTAGCACTTCTTCTTACTGTGTGCGAGCAGACCGCATTCTGTCTGCCTGTCCACCCTTAAATGGAATGCCATTTGTTTTCTGCTTTGGCTGTTATGCACAAACTGCTACGGACATTGCATATAAGTATTCCTGTGGCCAAGTGTTTTTATATTTGGATATCTACCTCAGAGCATAATTGCTAAATTATATGTTATTCTGTATTTAACTATTTGAGGGACTGCCAGGTATTTGACATTCCCTCACATTGTGTGTGAGTTCCAGTTTCTCCACATCTTCACAAACAGTGATTAGTATCTGTCTTTAATAATAGCCATTCTAGTGGGTGTGCGGTGGCATCATATTGTGATTTTAATTTGCATTTGCCTGAAAGCTGAGAGCATCCTTTGGTGTTCTTGTTGGGTACTTGAATGTCTTCTTGGAGAAATGCCTGTTCAGATTCTTTCCCATTCGGTTTCTTAAAGATTTATTTTGTTTATGTTTGTCTGTGACTGGGTATTATGTGCATGTGAGTGCCAGTGCCCTTGGAGGCCAGAGGTGTGGATATCCCTGGAACTGGAATTTGGGCAGTTATGTGTCCCTGGACATGGGCACTAGAATCAAACTTGAGTTCTCTTCATAGCAAAATGTGCTCTTAGCCTTCAGCCGTCTCTCTAGCCTCTGTTTTGTCCCCTTAAAAAATGAGTTGGTTTTTTTTTTCATTTTTGTGGAAAAGAGCTTTAGAATCTATTTTAATTGGTTTGGAAACATAGGGGAGAGTGGTCTTAGGACATTTGTCAACCTATCTCTCTCCCCATCTTGAACCAGCTGTGGTTAAACATGTCTGAGAATAGCTGTGCTGTCTGCTTCGACTGCTCAGGTTAGGACTGTGGAGATAAAACCATCTCTTTAAAGGACGAGAGATAAAACTCTGGTTGAGTGCTTCCCAGAGTGCATAAGAACGACCCTGAGTTCCATCTCCAGTTCCGAGTGGGGTCGGGTGGGGGATCCCCACGTCCCTTAGACTTCACTGAAGCGATAGAAGTTGTAACCAGTTGAACAAT